GAAACCGCCCCGCAAACTGCAGAGGATGTGAACACTTTCGTAAGCTAACCAAAAGTACCAGCAGAAATTCTTCCCAAAGACCCTCTACACCAGCACTCTACACAAATGAATCCTACACGAGAAATATACAACATCTAGAAATATCCCAACCCAGAAGCTACGCAGAAATCACAAAGCGAAATTTAGCCCAAACATAAGAAACAACTAACATACTAGAAAATTCCTAGACGAATTCAAAAATTTAATTCAACAAAATACGGTGACGTGGACGGCTCAACGCTCGGTAAACACCCCGTCCCCTACACCGCGGAGACGTAACAGGGGAGCCAAATAAAACTTCTATACGTATTCAACGCCATACTTAGACTGAACTATTGGCCTCGTCCGCTCAAAATCGCTCAATGATCGTGAAACCAGTCAAAAATCCAACCGACGTCACATCCTACCGACCAGTAAGCCTTCTATCCACAATTTCAAAAGTCCTCGAAAAACTAATACTCAACAAAATAAACCAAGAATCAAACCCACATACATGGACACCAAACCATCAGTTTGGCTTTCGACGAGCTCACTCAACTATCCAACAAAGCCATCGCATAGCAAATACCATAACAAACGCGCTAAATAACAAACAATACCGCAAAGCAGCATTTTTAGATATAGCCCAAACTTTTGACAAAGTCTGGCATCCCGGTTCACTTTACAAAACAAAAAGAATCTTCCCAACAAATTATTACAACCTACTCAAGTCATATTTAAACGAAAGATTTTTCGAAGTCAAAATAAATGAGGAAATATCCAACCGCCTACCAATCCACCCAGGGGTGCCCAAGGAAGCTTACTAAGCCCACTACTATACACTCTCTACACACATGATCTACCCACAAAAAAAAACGACAATAGGTACTTTTGCAGATGACTGCTATTTTCGCTTCGCACGACAATCCAATCACAGCCTCCTCTCATCTATAAGATCATCTAATCCTCATAGAAGCATGGCTAAACAAATGGAAAATCAAGGTAAACGAATCATAGTCCACACAAACAACATTCACCCTCCGAAAAGACACATGCCCCACAGTGCAAATAAATAACAT